GACCGCCCTCTTGAGTTTCGTGGTTCAATTCCTTTCCTGATTGGCTTTTATGCATTCACCGGCCAATTCGCTTTTATTCCAGCCTTTTTTGAAAGACCAGCAAAACGGTCATCCGTGGTATTTTTCAGGCGATTTCTAACACATCGCTGTGCTGACACTACTGTAGCCCTCAAGCTATACTTGAGGGGGTGCACCTATTACGTATTGGCCTGTTAATAATCAGAGTACAAGAGAAGTGAGAATAGAAGTGCACATGTAAGGACTGTAATCTTCCACAACCGTTTTATTTCAACGCCTACCCTAAGAACAAGCTCGAAGTGGTTCCCTTAACGGTTGAGTTTAAATGATACTTCGAATATCTCCTTTTCTCACCTTCCCCTCTGCAGTTCTATGTCAATGAGGCGAGTCGTTTCGCCACAGTTTCGGAGCTTGTGCAGCACCATGAGAAGGTGGCAGATGGTCTGGCCTGTCCCTTACTCTACGGCGTCTCCAAGCGGGATCAGAGTAATCACGGCGGCTTTGACTCCGACTACGACGCCTGGGAGATCGACCGCACCGATGTCATCATGAAACACAAATTGGGTGCGTTTCTAAGACTTTATTCATTCATTGCCCAAATCTTCCTACCTTAATGTGACTCGAAATGGCATTTTTATTGTCTTGATTGGGAGATTTTGAGAAAATTAAATTCAGATATTTTTTGTACTTTGGTCTTCGTTGAGTGCTTTTAGAGGACAAGTGTCTTGTATGCTTTTAAACTCCGCTCCTCAAAATTCCACACTCACAATTTACACTTTAGAGATACTTAATAGCATTCATTTTATTTATTCTGTAGCATAGAGACAACACTGTCTCGCACATTATCTACCAGTTTGAAAAATCGGAGGCGGGTAGTGCTACCAATAAGTGGGCCGTAAATTCGTGGGGGCTGGGAGTCTTTATTCATTTTTTATGGAATGCGTTTCAAACCTAGTTGAAACGGTTGAATTTCTGATAACACTAGATGCTGTCTCAAAAGCCAATTGTGGTATTAGTACTCATCATTCCCCCGCAAGTTCGTAGGAGTCGAAAATCTGGGTTTCATGATCTTGAAATAAGCGTTTGAGCAGCAATACCGAATTTGATAATTCATCCCTAATAAAGGGGAATGTAACAATATTCGCAGTTTGTGGGGATTGGTGAACATGCTTGATGAATCGGAATTTGCTATACCTTGAAGTAGCTAATACATTTGACAATATTCCCTGACTCGTTCTTCAGACAAACCATTGTCTAGTTTGGACCAGGTGTGGTTATTTTTAAAATCTGATAATCTAGTTTTGATGAGTCAGGATGATTCTATTCACAAGCTGCAGCTCTCAAATCTGGTCGCGTAGCCAAAAGCCCTGGTGCTTAACTATCACTGCTCTTCCCCCTGCCTTTGTCTGACTCATGCCTCTCCATCTCCCATCCCCTCATGAACAGCGCCACACGCATGTGAATACGTGTCCTCCAGGGTGATACGAGCTAAACTCGTCGTTCTTCGCGACCTAGCTTCATGTCCCGCCTTAATCCTTAGGGGTAATTAATAATGCACAGTCTTCGGTTGACCAACAAAGTCTTTTACCCCTTAACCTTTGTTTCTGACTCGATTTCTCCCTTGATACCTCTTCAAGCACATTGTTTGATATCCCACGTATTTAAGTCAATTTAAAGTGACTTTCACCAATCATTTACACCGTTTAACCGCCACCAATACCGTAGATGTTTTGAAAATCAACGTCTCTGAGAATGTAACTTGCTAGTAAACACACGATGAGTTCTGCTCTGGCTGGTGGTTTGATGATTCGACATAAACTTCCAAGAGCTGAAGGAGAAATTTATTGTGAATTGTAAGCAGTCCTATATGTAACTCTCACATGTTGACCCTTTGCTGCCCTTGGTTTTTTGCACATTTTTGCCATTCCCCAAAACATTCGGATAAGTCCGAGCATTATCAAAACACCACTACGCGAAGAGTTTGGTTCGTGAGGGTGAGACCGGCTGCAATGCATGTACCAGTTTCGATCCGACTGACAATTTGATTTTGAAGAGAACTGGAACCAAAATTGCTGGTTATTGGCTGAAAACGCATACAACCTACTGCCCCGTAGCTAATTAACAATGACCACGCACATCGGCTGGTCAAAAAGTGGTGAAGCTGTGGATATGTGGAAATGGAGGGCTTCCATTCCGTGCACCTGTTTCAGACGCATATATCGATAGGTCAAATTGTCTGCTGACAAGTTAATCGGAACTTATTAGTATTTTCGCCAAATGTTTATGTTGTGGAACCAACACAGATTTTTGGGCATCCTGAAAATTCGGTAATGGTCATGATGTGTCCAAGTGGCAAAAGAATGGTTTTATTTGACTGGCGATTTTAGTCTGGAATGAGCTTGGAAACGGAAAGTGACTAAAGCTGAAAAGAGGATTGATAGATGTGAGCCTCAGTCCTGTAGTCGAATTACGGGCAATATCTTAGCTGCCTAATTGTGGAAGGTTAGTTAAAGTACTTGCGATGAAATTGGCT